TTGGCCGTACAGATAAAGTCTGAATTGTGAAATACTCCATACTATTGCTAATAGTTCGAGTCGGATAGCAGGGTAATTACTTTCAGCAGGTGTGAGCGTACGTGAGATGTATGCTACAGTGTGTTCTTGCTCTTCGTCATCAAATTGAGAAAGCGACCCTGTGATTCCGATTTTGGATGTGTCAGTGGTAAGAAAAAATGTCCTGTCGAAATCCGGGTGTCTGAGCAGCGGAGGTTCACATAATTTATCGCGTAGTGTCTCGAAAGCTCTTTGCTGCTCTTCCGCCCAAACGAACGGCTGGCGTTTCTTTAATAAATTAGTAAGTGGTTTGGCGATTTTAGCAAAATTTTCTATGAATCATCTATAGTATCCTGCCATGCCGAGCCATTATTTAACATTCTTTGGCGTGCGTGGGACCGGGAATTTTTTTACTGCGCGCAGTTTGTCGTTGCACGGACGTAGTCCGTCTGTCGAGATTATATGTCCGAGATATTCGATTTCCGGGCCTAGAATTTTGCATTTCTTCGGATGAAGGACCAGATTAGTTTCACGAAAGCGTTTTGTTAACTCGATGATGCTCTCGCAATGTTCGTCGAATGTTTTGGAATATACGCAAATATCATCGAAAAACGCTACTACATTTTTTAAGTCTGATACTAGCATATTTATTAGTGACAGAAAAACTGGTGCACTAGTTTTCAGTCCAAAGGGTGAGCAACAAAATTGATATAGGCCTGACTCGCATTGCAATGCCGTTTTATGCTTGTGTTCTTTTTTAATGCTTATCTGATGATATGATGAATACATATCGAATGATGAGAATAGTTGCGCACCAGCCATTCGTTCAAATAAGTCGACAGGTAGAGGGACTGGGAAATGATAATCCGAAATAATTTTATTTAGCGCGCGATAGTCAAATACGATGCGCGGGAGTTGCGGTTCGCCATCTTCCGTATTCTTTTTGGGCACGCAAAAGACTGGTGCGTAGTATGCACTAGTTGATTTTTCGATAATCCCTCTTTCTAATAATTCCTGCATTTATTCATATATAAATTTACTGATTTGTGGGGGGAGCCTAAACTGTCGAAGCCTGATTGGTACTTTGGAGGTAGTATAGATCTCGTGCTCGATAATACTCGTGGCTCCGAGCTTGTCGCCATTAACAAAAAATCTGTCGCTGTAGTTTTCGACGATTTCTTCAATTTTTATTCGTTGATATTCTTTGATATGGTCCAATTTAATTAACTGAAGTAACTGTTTGATTCTTTCGTGACGATTATTAATTTCTGGGTTAACAAGCAGTGCTGCGCGACGCGCTCTAGCGACTTTTCCTCTAATAATCGAGCGGGCTGTTAATAATGCATTTTATGTATTACTAATTACATTTAGTTTTTGTAAGTTATTTTGTGATTTAATAATTGGATCGAGGTATCTCTTTAGTATTTCGAGCAAGTATACGCGATCGCTATTAATTTTAAATTCTTTATTATATAAATAACTAATAATAGTGTTAGTTAATTCTTGTATTAGCGGATAATCTGATTCTGATTTTTCTGGTTTTTTAATCATTTCTGATGCTTTGTTTAAAGCGTAGAGTAAATCGGATTAGTTTTCCAGAGTTTGCATGCGCATGCCAGAAGTTACAGATACAGAGTTAATTTTTTTTGAGTTCTCGGAAAGGTAGTTAAGAGACAGGTTGTATAGATTGTTGGAATCTGATTTTTTTGGTCCTTCTCGGATTTTGTTTTCAGACAGCTGAGGTATATACTCTTTAGGAGTTAGTATGTTATTTTGTTTTATGGCATCGTGACCATTTTTTTACATGGGTTTTGTATACTGGTGTGTTCGTCCTCCGAGTTTCGACCACTAGGTCCAGCAGTTTCCCAGTAGGGTCGTCGACCAAATACGAGGAGTTATCGCCAGGCTGTGCCTGCCCTTCGTTTGCGAGAGGTATCTTGCTGGGTGCCTGGTTAATTTTTTTTGTTACGGGAATATCTCCAATCTAACAGGATTTACTTTCGGTGAGAATTAGAAAAAACATGTTATTAATTTTTAAGAGATTTCTGGCGTAATCAATATGCGCTATGTATTTTTTTAATGACTCGCTTCCTATTACACCGTCTTCTAATATAGGAAAATTTTCCGGTACTAGGTGAAAATCTAGTACAAAGTTATGAAAGTTAATGAAACTTTTCCTAATATCGAGATACTTTCTTGCGAAATCTCTCGTAGTTCGTATCTGTCTAAGATAGTCATATGGACATCGTCTGGTTTGCTTAAAATTTTAAGTAGTGAAACTGCAACCCCGGTGTCTACGACGAAGCTAAATTTTTGTTTAGTTGTATTTATTTCAAGCTGTATATTGTGGATGACTGACTGTTAAGATGTAAAAGGATGAATTTTTGTGCGTGCGACGTTTGATGCGCTGTAATTACAGGGGCTCCCGGGCAGCGCCGAGTGTCTGGAAACCCTTGTCTTTTTCCGCCTGTTGTAATTTTTGATTTCTGAGTTTTCGTTTTTCACAATCATTCTTCCAGTGTCCTATTTCTTTACAGTAATTGCAAATCGAGGAATTAGTTTGTTGCAATTTTTCTTGCGAATTTAAATTGACTGGGGCACTTGTTTTTACTTGATTTTGGGCGGCATAATGTGGCTGATGGTTGGAGCAGGGAGTAGTGCTATTGTTAGCTGCCACGCGAGGCTCCACCCACGGCTGCTGTTTGGGCTGCTGCCGTTGCTGTTGCGTAGTTAGCCAAGTCTGATTTTGATTCTGCGGTATCCGATACCAACAGTCTTTAGCTATGTGTTTTGGCCTATTGCAAATTTGGCAGGTGTTAGTATCCTCCGCTTTCATTAATCAAACCGGCTCTATTTTAGGTTGGATTAGCGCTTTTACTGTTTCGCTTATTTCCTCAGGTTCCTGTACGTTGAACTCTCGTTCAATTTCTATTACTTTAGTTGTGGTTAATTCTAAATTTTCGGCTTCCTCCATACGCGCTTTGATGACCCAATATAAACCGCGGATGAAGAATTTTACTTTATCTTTTTCAAGTTGGCTTTTAAATCCAGCATTGTTTCGATTTTACCTTACTGCTGCTTCAAAAAGTTCGTCAGCTACTGTTTTCACTCTATTAGAAAATGTGACTACATTCTCACCACGTTTTTGTTTTAAGGTTGCTAATTCACCTATTAATTGATTACAAGTTTTTACTGATCCGAACAGTAGGTCTAAAAATTTAATCATTTGTTCTACATTATCAAACGTTTTTCCTTGCACGCTTTTAAGTGCCTCACCGCTTAGTTTGATTTTAATTAACTTCGTGAGATCATTTTCATTGATTGTCGGGACTATGCTGCGTGCCTCTCGACAACCGTCGATAAATAAGTGTAAATGTATGTTAAATCCATCGAATTGAAGTACGAAGTTAACAGCGTCTTTCAAGCTAAAATTTTTTATTGGCGATACTATGTTTTGTGTGGAATTCATTAGTCCTGTTCTGAAAGTCCCCAGCGTACAATGCGTAGTAAATGGGCTGCTTGCAAAATTAGTTTTGTTTGTAGTAGCAAAATGTTGAGTTGTAGTGAAATCAACTTTTTCCGATTTATTATGAGCCACTTCTGGTGGATTTGGAAACGGATGGAGTATTAGTCATAGACACGTTTGTAGTGGGCGCGTTATACATGTCTGAATTTTCAATTGCTGTTTCGTAACCTGTTTGATTTTCATTGAGCTCAAGTAATGGAATTTCAGCTTTATCTAATTTTAATTTTTCGAAGTTTATAGCCGTAATAGCGTTAAGGCGTAATGCTGGATTTAAATTTTTACTAGTCATTTCAATGAGGATGTCGAATATTAGGTCATTTTTACATAGAAAGTCCAATGAGTTTGTATCAATGTAGTCTTGTAAATTATATTTTAATCTTTGTAATTCCTCGACTCAGGTAATTTGCTTTGTTTCGGTGGGTGGATGTCTTTGATGCAGATATGCCAGACATTCTGTAAGCGTAGGTTCCCTGTTTGTCGCAAAGTTTGGTTCTACTTCGCTAATTTTTTTAATTAGTATTTTGAGTGTAATTAGGTTTCGTTCGTAAGGTGTTTCGATCATTGTAATTTTTTTGCGATAATATCCTAATTACAAAGAATGAGGGGCCCCTAATTATTATGTCTAAGCGAGGAGATGTTACGGCTAGACGTAATAGTGTTTAAAATACTGTCGCATTGGTAAAGGTTGGATCTTAGTCAGGAGTTAAGCAGAGGTTGGTTAAAGGGATAGCGCCTTTATTATATGTAGCGTGTTTAGGTAGATAACTTAGTTTCTTACCTTGTTAGGATTGGATTTCGGAATAGGTTTTTACAAACAGTCTCAGGTGTTTGCGCTTGATTTAAGATTTATTGTTTAAAGACAATTTTATAATGCTTAGCAGAGTATAATTCCGATTCTGAGTAGCCGGATAGCGAGACTTAGAAATAACTAAATCAGTATAAGTATGAGTACTAGAGTATGAGTGCTAATATAAGCGCTAATGTAAACTTTAATATGAACTGCGCGAACTGTGTATTGTGTGAACTGAACTGCTTTTCGCGGATACCGATCCAGCCTTTTTATACCATAGGCTGATGTGCCCCTTCCTGTGTTTTCGCCGAATTAATATGCGGTGAGTAATATTTGCGGAAATATTATGGAGAACGTGCTTAGGCTAATCTATCCCGCTAAATAGATTCACAAATGTTCCCGGGAGGGTTGATACGATAGAAAATTAAATTACCTATACCCGGTTAGTAACATAACCCGTTGTGTGACATTTACTTATCATAGCTCGTCACGTACGTTTTCTTTGTATCGACGTGACAGTTGTGAATTAATTAAAAAAGGTAATCCTACGAGAAGGGCTGGTTTCATTGTTTACGAATTGCCGTGTATCTTTGTAAACATTTGTAAAAAAATAAAGTGGAAATCGATTTATTTCAGAAAAAACTACTTATAATTATATGTACTTACCTAGCCAATCGCAAACTATGGTCTCTAGTTCTGTACAGGCAGGTGATGCAGCCTGAAAAGAATGTATTTATGAATAAAGTAATAAATAATAATCTAAATCCATATATAATAATTGTATAAATTCTCTTAACCATACGTGAACGATTACAATGCTTCATTAATAGGCAAAATCATGAGAAAATTAAATGTAAGGATGCTCACAGTGACAGTAATAAAGAGGATGAAGAGAAAAGATGGAGCAACTTGAAGATATTTTGTAGAAAATAGAGTTTCGTAAAAATAAATAACAATTTTTTGTAATTTTTTTTCGTTCTTTCGAATGAAGTACTTAGGTTTTAGGGTCTGTATTAATCCTAAATATGGTTCCAAATCAGTTTCAACTGGTAAATTACTAATAGAACTCTCTATTTTTTATCACAGATGTAGATTCTACGATAAATTTTACGTTCGGATTGATGTTACGTAATATTGAAATAATTAATTCTTTTAATTGACAGTAGACCACAAACACTGGAAACTACTAATGAAAATGGCTCAAGTTCAAAAAAGTTTCCTACGGTTTTCTTGTGATTTTTATTATTCTATTGAATCGATCATTCAAGTCCAACCTAACTTGGAAATAATTTAGGAGTGAATATTGAGTGAATATTTTGAAAATAATTAATATATTTTTCGTCTAATTACTATAGTGAAACTTCTTGATTCAAGATATTGATATCGTTCCTTTAGTGCTAGATAAGAACAACGTAGAAATATTATATGGAATATACGTATGTAATTACGAACAAAAAGTCCAAAAAGAACAAAAAGCAAACGATAACTGTAATATCAGAACAGCCATCAAATGTATATATATATATATATATATATCTTATTGTTAATATTAATGTCTATTTCAGATGTTCTCTGTTTTTTAAACAAATGACGTCAAAAAAACAAACGTTTCTAAAAAAAAGTCATTGAAGTAATTTCTTAAAAATAAATATATGAAATATTATTTTAATACTATCTTTCACAAAAGAATATAGTTGAAAATGACGATAATTCAAGAAAGACATGGGAAAAATTTTGTAAGTTAATAACTTTAAATGGCATCATTATACAATGAAGAAAATATTATAAAAATGGTGCTTTCATGAAAATAACATTTTATTCATTTAGGTTTATATTCGTGAAGTTTTATATTTAGAGAGGTTTCTGAACATTGCAATATTTAAAAATATTATGTACAATAAAATATAAGCGCATCAATAAATAACTTCCCATATTTGCTTATACGAGGTGTGTTCAAAAAGTATGGTGGCTTTTCAAATTTTACGGGCAACGTACTTTCGATTATCGATTTTTTTGTTTTGTTATGTTGGTACACTCTTCCCGAACATCTGTACCAAGTTTCAAGTGTATAGCATTTTTTTGTTCGGTTGTGAGAGGCGTAAAGGTTATAAGTGTTTTGCGTGCTCGGCGATTTCTTGCTATCGAAAAATATGGATCAAAGGATTTGCATCAAATTTTGTGTAAAAAATAAAATAAAGTGCTCCGAAACACTTGAAATGTTGACGGTGGCATACGGTGAAACTGTTCTGAGTAAAAAAAATGTTTACAAGTGGTACAAACTCTTCCAAGATGGCCGGGAAGATGCCAATGACGAGCCTCGCTCTGGACGCCCAAGCACATCAACAACTGATGAAAACGTTCAAGCAGTGAAGAAAATTGTTCTGGAAAATCAAAATCAAAATCACTATCCGAGAAGTTGCTGAGGATGTTGGTATATCGCTTGGCTCGTGCCATGAAATTTTTTCTAACGTTTTGGGCATGAGACGTGTGTCAGCGACGTTTGTTCCAAAATTGCTAAATTTTGACCAAAAGAACCGTCGCATGAGCATCGCTCAAGAACTGTTGAATGACGTCAACGTCGACCCAGATTTACTCAAAAGGCTCATAACTGGTTAAGAATCATGGGTATATGGTTATAATATCGAAACCAAAGTCCAATCGTCCCAATGGAAGAACCCAGATGAGCCAAGACCGAAAAAAGCACGCCAAGTTCGATCAAATGTCAAAGTTTTGCTCACTGTTTTCTTCGATTACCAAGGCGTGGTGCATCAGGAGTTCTTGCCATATGGACGTACGGACAATAAACAGTATTATCTTGAAGTTATGCGCCGTTTGCGAGAAGCAATACGAAGAAAACGCCCAGAATTGTGGAAAAACAATTCATGGCTTTTGCATCACGATAATGCCCCTGCTCACTCATTTTTGCTTGTGAGAGATTTTTTGGCCAAAAACAACACCACAATCATGCCTCAGCCACCATATTCACCGGATTTTGCCATATGTGACTTTTTCTTGTTCCCAAAACTAAACAGACCTATGAAAGGACGGAGATTTGCAACGATTGAAGAGATAAAGACTGCATCGCTGGAAGAGCTCAAGGCTATACCGAAAAGTGCTTATGAGAAGTGCTTTGAGGATTGAAAAAACCGTTGGCATAAGTGTATTGTATCTGAGGGGAATTACTTTGAAGGGAACAGCATAAATATTGATAAATAAATAAATATTTCTTCTTAAAAATACAAAATCACTTTACTTTTTGAACACACCTCGTATTCTTTTAAGAAAAATACTTTTTTGAAATTTTATATTTTCAATTTTATTAATTTATATAAATAATACGGACCATATTTAATTAATAAGAGTCAAGTTCGATATTGGACACAAATATGAATTATTTACTCAATTTATGCATACGAATTCGATTAATACTATTTCTGTTAGTTTCTTGTAGGTTTTTGCCAATTAATCCAATAAGGTCCAGATCAAAATGAGCAGTGACATCCTATGCATAATCGAAAAAAAATACCCGTCATTTTTCTTTTGTTATTTGCAATTATTTCTAAAAAATTATTCAAACATATTGTCACAAAAATCATTACTGTTAAAAACTGATCGTAGTAATCGATTCTATGGAAAAAAAATCATGAAGAAAACCGTTGCCTTGTTTTATTTTCAAAGGTCAATTTATTGCTGTATTCTGCTAATCAACAATTGCATGTTATTATATATATATATGTATATAACTGTCAGTTTTTGCCTGGACCTTAATCAGTTACTGTTGTCGAATGTTAATTATGTTAAAATATAGAAAATTAAATTTTTATACAAAGGAGAAATGAGCGCACGAAACATGCTTGATGACACTAGTATAATTAATATAACCGGTGGAAGAATTTATGTTTACGGCATGAAAGGATACATTTATATATATTATAAAAAATGTTATTTTTATTTATTCATATAAGCAATACAGCATTTGATATATAGGTTTAAAGTTTTTATACCCTTTTGACTTTGGTATAGATTTGGTATTGTTTGAATAACTTTCAGTGTACGATTTCAATTGAAAACAATTTTTTGTTTTCTTATCATTCACATTTGAACTTTGACTAGTGTGAATAAATAATTTTTTAAATATTTGTGATGTAAAAATGTAATAGTGGATGATATCATTTCCCGAAATGTGTTGCCTTACTGAATAGTCGATTATTCTGATTGGATATAAAATATGGATGGGGAAATTGATTTTCCCATCTTGTTCCTGCCTTACTTATTTTTTGAAAGGCTGACATTCACTTCTAAAGAGGTGAAATCCCCCCTTAAAAATCACCGCGAAAAATGTTTTTTTTTATATACCTCTGCATCTAATGAATATTTTCAAGCAAAATCAACGCCAAAATATTTTTTATAAGTAGGTGCTTCTACTGGCGTTGATTTTATTTAAAAATATTCATTAGATGCAGAGATCTATTAAAAAACCATTTTTCGTGATGGTTTTCAGAAGTGGATTTCACCCCTTAAAAGTGGATGTCAGCCGATAAAAAAATCACATGTTGAATATCTTTTCGAGTATTACAACATATCTCAAAATCATTAAAGTCGGTGGGGTCGGGTTGGGGTGATTGCTTTATTAATGGAAGTCACATTGGACTATTCGTATCAAACGTGTTATTGTTGAAAAGAAGAGGTTAAAGCTTCTTGTAAGGCAACGTGCTTATGTGGAACTCTACAAAGATTATAAGGGACAACGTGATGGACTATAGATAACTTATTGTTTCTTCTACTTGTTATTCGGAAGTATTTTATATATTTTCTTTTTGTCATATGCCATTTTTTTCTAAATTTGAGCAAACATTTACTGCTGAATGATCTTGCGAACATGCACAACCAGCAGATTTGGTCGCAATCGGTTTTTATTTTATGGGTTTAATAGATCAGGTGCACTGCTTTGAATGTTGGACAGAATCTTTTATTTGAAATAAGGTAATTACCCCATATCAGAACAACAGCAATGGGCTGGTCAATATCGTTTTATTCGCCAGATGGCTTTCGATACTGAGACTATCGAATCGAGCCCTATACCAATAACTGTCACGAAGAAGTAGGGATGTTTGTGAAATGTATGACTTCAAGTATCGGTCTGGACTGTCAGGACAACTAGCGTGCGTAATGAGCCAATACCTACAGAGAATTTAAACGATCTTATATTTGCAAAAGAAATAATTTGCGAATTCTTTATTTATAATTATACAGGCCTACAAATTTTAAATCCATGGACGAGTCCTTACGTCCCTGAAGAACTTTTATGCGCTGTATTAGAATCTGTGCGCAGATTTTTTCCTAACGTCAGGTTTTGAGATATCCTAATCTAAAAATTAGAGAACGTGGTAAACTAGATCGCAAATAAATCTTTTTTTTTCAAAATCGATTTGCCAGCCTGATCTCAGTCCATTAAATAGTTATTTTTGGGGATTATGTAAAGATCCTGTTTATGGAAATGCACCCTCTACTAGATTAGATATGATGGAAAGAATTAGGAGGACTTATGCAGCAGTCACGCCAGAAGTACTCAGAGCTGTCATGAACAATTATCGTCGTAGAATTGTGCTTAAAAAATAATGGAAGATCAATTGAACACTTGTTATAATCAATTTAAAATAATTTTTTATTTGAAAATAAATAATGTTACTCGCTATGACGAGCTATATCCCAAATAAG